CAACTCACCAGTGAGACCAGTGGTGTGAGGTAGAGCCAGCAGAGTTTAAAGAAGTAGTTGGCTCGTGTCCCTGTCATGTCCTTTATTATGTCATATAACTTATCTACCCCTTAATGGGAGAAGAAACAAAATAAACAACATATAAAGATCACACTTGGTGTCAATGGAACATCATGGATGTATTTTTTTCACATAAACGTCAAATGACAGCCAAAGGACTCATAATCAGTCATGTAAAGACTCCATTATAATGTCCTCACAAGTGTCTGCAAGATTTGCTTCTATATATGAGAACATTTCCCTGATCATGTCATCATTACGACATCATTAGTGTGAGATATAAAAAGAAGAGCACACCTACCAAATATCCAACCCAGTGCCAGAGTTTCAAACACACATAGAAAGAGGATGCAGGCTCCATTACAAGCATAGTAGTCCAACAACTGGAACACAAACATCCCTCCCTAGAAACAATGACACAGATATTTATTTTGTATGCATTTAGTTTTGTTACTAAAATCTGAAAATTAGGATATGTAATGTTTAATATTTTCTTTCAGACCCACACATACATTTCCAAAACATTTTTTGGCAGTGATACTTTACATACAGACCTCAGTAACCATGACAAGCTGAGAGAAGAAACATATCAGGCAGAAGAGAAGGAGAAAAATCTCCCTGTGGCCGGTCCTGTGCAACACTTTGGGAAACATATCAGTGAAGGACGTCATCACCACCTCCATGTTAACAAACTGTGCAGAGAATGGACAAAACACTTAGTAAATTTCAAGCATAAATGCAAAGTTCCAAAGCTGTGTGTGTCTTACTTGTGTATCCAGACCCAAGAGAATGAGCATAACAAAGAAACAGATGGACCACAGTTGAGGTTGGGGCATCATGGCTACAGCCTGAGGGTATGCAATGAACGCCAGGCCTGGACCTGAAACACAACATGACGGAACACTAAGCTCCTTCTAGACAAAACATGCAAGCCAGAGTCAAATGGTTCTGTGTTAGTTTGTACAGGTTGTACCATGTAATATGACAGCGGGAAGGCACAAAATTAAACATTTACCTGTGCCTGCTCATGTTGACTTAGGGCAGTGGTTCCCAAACTTTTTTTGCTGGGCCCCCCTTCGTTTTACAAGAAAAATATTCTTCCCCCCTCGCCCCCCCCTCAGCAACTAATCTCTGATTACTTCCGCCGAAAAGTAATCCCGTTACTTTACTGATTACTTATTTTCTAAAGTAATTAGTTACTTAGTTACTTTTTAAAAACATGATTAACAATCTGAATAGGTGGTAAAGCAATAGATCTTTCAGCCCAATTCTACTTTCTGGCTAATCCATCATATAAAATGTAATCAAATGGAAAAAGTCTCTTTTTAAATTTTTTTTTATTATATATTTAAACAATTATTGCTTTAATCTTTTAACTTTATGCATCAAGCAAAAATTTAAGGTTTGCCCTGGTGCAGGTGTGCCGCAG